CCCTTGAGTAAGACGACAGTAACCGTATGCTAACAGATAGGAGTCTCTTTCCAATCAGATGATCAGCAGGATTTTTTGCTTGCTGGTTTTTACTAATTTTAAGATGGGAAGTCTTTCTAAAATCAAATGGCATAGTGGGAAAATCTAAGGAAGTAAAAGAAGAGTGCCAAGGGATGACTGCCAGTCTGTGTGCGTGATTCCAAAATGAGGTGGTACAAAAGGGGACATCTCTGACCTTCGCTACCCACCCTGATGCCGTGTCCCCCCTGCCTCCCCAGGGCTGGCAGTACCGGTTGTGTGACACCCCCCTGCCCCAGGGAGTACAGCTGGATCCTGCTGAGCCCCAACCAAGCTAACAATGAGGAAAATAAAAGTATCCGAGGGGCCCAGTGTGCAGCCATGGGAATGCCAGAGCCAGCACACAGCTTGGGTGAGGTGCCAGCAGGACTTTCCATGATTAAATCAAAGATTTTCCGGGGCAGCCTGCGGGTAGGTTGGCTTCAAGTGATTGCGGAATAACCCCGCTGAGCCAACTGGCCAGTCCAGGTCAGTCTGTCACTTTGTCAGTCCTAAGACCTGTCGAGCCAGCAGAGCAAATGTAGTGAGATGTGGACGTTATCCTGGATGTCCAGACACCCAACCAAGGAAGAGTCTTGTAGCCGTCAGACTGGTCTTACTGTGTCAATAAATCTGCCTAATACTTAGTCTATGGCAGTTTATTGTGGAAGTGTTTGTTTTTATAGCAAAGACTGTGAAATTACTGCTTATTTGTTAAATGGCTTGAAGGGTGGAGGCAATTTTAAAGGAATTACTTGCAGCCTTCTGAATTTATTGGGCTCATCCAATAATTCAAACACTTTCAACTCTGGTATTTCGGTTCCATGTGACTTGGAGTTTGATCCAGTGCAGGACCTGGTTGTCCAGCCCTGGGAGCAGAAGTGAAAACATAGGGCGAAGGGCCCAGGTCCACAAGGAGTTTCATGAGGTTGTATATGCAGACTGGCACTGGAAGCCTATCCTGGCTTTCAGGCTACTGCTGTTAGACTGTTTCTGGTAGCTCGACTAGCTCACCTGCAGATGATTCAGACACTGCTGTCCACATATATGCCCTTATGAAAGCAGATGGATGAGATGTTTCAGTGAACTTTCTGCCATTGCTCCCCCCCCCACATGCAGAGCTGCCCCATTCCTCAGGCAGTTCCCACCTAGGACAGGACTGGTGAAGCTAGTGACTCCCACCATGGAGCTGCTTAGGACATGACTTTCCTACAGAGTAACTAAGGGAGAGGAGAAAGGAAAAAAAAAAAAGGAAAAAAAAAGCAAAAAAAGCAATGCAGTTTGGAGGTGCTGCTGGCTCAGCGGAGAAGTTGCTGTGGGAGTGCTGTACTCAGAGCACATGAAGAGAAAGGAAGGGAAACAGACTCCCATGAGGAAAAGACTGAGGAATTACTTATTTTCAAGGCATATCTGTCTTCTAGAGAGCAGATATTTCTTAAAACTCAAAGCAACCACCACGGTGGAAAAGGTGGAGGTAATAGGGGGGTTAGCACAGCTCCAGCTTAGTGCAGCATCATACTAAAGTTTTTTGTTTTCTTGAGGAATTAGCACTGAAAAATCATCAGCTTCCCCCATAAGCTGCTCCACTCCTTCCACTCTGGAAGGGAAGTGGCTGCTGGTTGTAGGCAGAATAAGGAAGATCATTGCCTCTAATTGTGCAAGTTTTGATGAAATCTTAAAGAAGAATCAGATTTTTAGATAATAATTTAGATACTGTTTTATCCATACTCAGATTTCTCTAGGTACCAATGCAGAAGAGAGATGCCACTCCATAATGACTGTCTGTGGCCTCCCGCGTAAGCAATGTTCTGCTGCAGCAGTCACAGTACAGTTCTACACAATCCTTGCTAGAAGTTTGCATTGCATTTTTTTAATTCATGCTTGGGGACCCCAGGCAAGTGTTAAAGGATCCTTGTGGTACATCTCTGTGCTTTTGAAGTGACCCTCACTGCAGTGTACAGAAGATTAAGAGGGAAGGTTTTGCACACATTGTGCCATGTTTTTCTTCATCTTCATAAGGATGTATGTACATGCCTGTTTGTATTTCTTACCTTGATTAGCAGGGCTTAAGAACTGAAATAAGAAATAATCCACATCTAGCCAACCCATTACAAAACACAGAATCTTCAGTCACACTGACAGCATTATCCTGTTGGGAATGATGCTATTTTGGTGCATTTGGGATGGAAAATACACAATTTCATGAATAAAAATTCAACAGGTTTTTTTTTTGTGGTCATTAATGGCTTGATATTAGAAATACCCTGCTTATAGACCAAGACATTTCCAGTATCATTCATTTCCCATGCCAAACTTGTGGTTTGTGATGGAAGTATACTTTTAAGAGCGTC